GATAAAGTGGCCTGTACCTAATCATATATAAGAAAATTGTGTATACAGGCATAAATGGATTTTAAAAGCTTCCTAAGGTAATGAAAAGATCATTTACAAAGATTCAAAATGAAATCAGCCTTCTCAACAATAAAACTGGATGATAGAAACTATGAAGTAATGTGTTTTCACAATTCTGAGAAATTGTTGTCAATCTATCATTTTATACCCAGGGAAACTATAAATCAAATCTGAGACTAAAATCGATTTTCATATGTATAAGAACTTACAAAATATTCCTCCCAGTTACATTTTCCTATGCATTTTTTGGTGGATATGCTTCCCCTGCCAAGATAAATAAATAGAGGGCAGAGGACCAAGAAAGAGGAGGACTGAGATCCAGGCAACACACATCGAAGATTACAGCTTGGTTACAATTTCTTACTAAATTTCCCTCTAGTATGGGTTTCAATGTGAATTCTTACTGGCCTGATATCCTAAATTATGACAATAATGGATAATATCAACCTTTTTGTTTCAGAGATTTCTATAATAAGAATAAACAATAATCTTTAACATTTCTGAAGATAGCTTGAAAGCAAATTCATTTTAAAAACTTATGGATGCCATAGAAATGAAGACATTCTATGGTTCTTAACTAAGCTATTAGGCTCATTATTATTAGTTGGGGGGGGGAAGAGGGTAAAAATTTGGGGAAGTTCCCAGATAGAGAAAGAAAGCTCCTAAAGTTGTATTTATGAAATGCATGAAGTTTGTATTCCTTAAATAAATGGTCTTTGGGAAAAAAAATACACTTCCTCCAAAAAAAAAAAAAAAAAAAAAAGAAAAGAAAGATTGTGAACAGAATTTAATAAAAAAAAAAAAAAAAAAAAAAAACACAATGAATCACTCCAGGGCAGGAAATCTTGCAGTTCATAACTACATTCATTATCTACTGCTGTGAAACAAAGCATTCCAAATTTAGCAGCTTAAAGCAACAATATTCATCGTTATAGTTTCTAAAGGTCAGGAGTTTGGAAGCTAATTGAGTGGTTTTGGTTCAGGGTCTTCCACAAATTTGTAGTCAAGATGTCAGCCAGGGCTTTAATCATCTGAAGCCTTGACTATGGTCAGAGCATCCCCTTTCCAAGATGGTTCATCCACATGGTCTTTGGGAAGAGTCCTTAGTTCCTTCTTGGTATTGGCAGAAGATTTCAGCTCTTCACTACATGGGTCTTTCCATAGTGCTGCTTGAATGTTCTCATGGCATTGTAACCCATATGGATGCCGGCCTGAGTCCCAGCTGCTCCACTTCTGATCCAGCTACCTGCTGATGGCCTGGGAAAGCAGCGGAGGATGGTCCAAGTCCTTGGGCCTCTACCACCAACGTGGGAGACCCAGAGGAAGCTCTTGGCTCCTGGCTTAGGATCAGCCCAACTCTAGCCATTGTAGCCACTTGGGGAGTAAATCAGCAGATGGAAGATCTTGTTCTCTCTCTGTCTTTCTCTCTCTGACTCTGCCCTTCATATAAATAAATACATCTTTAGCAAAAAAAAAAAAAAAAAAAATTACTCCAGAGCAAGTTATGTGAGTAAGAACATGAGAGAAGAGGTAGGGCCAGCAATGTGGCATAGCTCATTGAGCTGCTACCTGCGATACTGGCATCCCACATGGGCACTGGCTGTGCCATGTATGATCCAGCTCCCTGCTAATGTGCCTGGGAAATCAGCAGAAAATGACCCAAATGCTTGGGCCTCTGCCCATGTGGTAGACCCAGATGAATTCCTGGCTCCTGACTTGGGCCTGGCCCAGCCCTGGCTGTTACGGCCATTTGGAGAGTAAACCAGCAATTGGAAGACCTCTCTCTCTCTCTCTCTCTCTCTCTTTCTGTGTGTGTGTGTGTGACTTTGCCTTTCTTTCTTTTTTTTTTTTTAATTTATTTATTTATTCAAAAATCAGAGTTATACAGAGAGAGAAGGAGAGGCAGAGAGAGAGAGAGAGAGAGAGAGAGAGGTCTTCCATCCGCTGGTTCACTCCCCTGTTGGCCACAACAGCTGGAGCTGTGCCAATCCGAAGCCAGGAGCCAGGAGCTTCTTCCAGGTCTTCCACACAGGTGCAGGGGCCCAAGAACTTGGGCCATCTTCCACTTCTTTCCCAGGCCATAGCAGATAGCTGGATCAGAAGTGGAGCAGCTGGGACTTGAACTGGTGCCCACATGGGATGCCGGCACTGCAGGCGACGGCTTTACCTGCTATGCCACAGCATTATATGTAAATCACTTCTGAGTATATCCACGCTCACCTTTTGAAGGGAAGAGTATCAACAAAAGTGTGAACAAATTTTAAAGCTACCACAATAACTAAAAACCATGAAGCTGTTATCTAGAGTCCCAGATACTGAATAGAATTGGCTGACTATACTCCAAAGAGGAAAGTTGGACATATGGTGTAGTGATAACATCCTTGAGCCAGGAGATTTGGTTCACCTTTCTCTGGCATGATAATGACTGTAAAAGGACCACAAAAGGTCAAGGGTTATTATGTTTGAGAACAGGCCATACCAAAAAGAAAAAAAAAAGTGAGTTCAGTTTGATTCATATACAAGGCATTGTGTTAGCTCTACTAAGGATATACTCATTTACTGATAAGCATGAACCAGAGAGGTTGTTTTCCCATGATCAGCTAATAAATGTTAGAACTAGGGCTTCAACCCAATCCTTGCATGGCTGCCTTCCTGTGATGTGAAGCTCCATACATCATGTGCTTAACTGATTTATGTTACACTGACATTCGTTTGTTTTTAAAGATTTATTTATTTAGGGACCAATGCTGTGGCCTATTGGGTAAAGCCACCGCCTACAGTGCTGGCTCCCATAAAGGCACTGGTTCAAGTTCCAGCTGCTCCACTTCTGATTCAGCTCTCTGCTATGGCCTGGGAAAGCAGTAAAAGATAACCCAAGTCCTTGGGCCCCTGCACCTGCGTGGGAGACTCAGAAGAAGCTCCTGGCTCTTGGCTTCAGATTGGCATGGCTCTGGCTGTTGTGGCTATCTGGGGGAGTGAACCATCAAATAGAAGAACTCTCTCTCTCTCTCTCTCTCTCTCTCTGCCTCTGCCTCTCTGTAACACTGCCTTTCAAAAAATAAATAAATCTTAAAAAAAAGAAAAGAAATCTATCGTTGTCCTCTGACTCCTTGAGTACTCTGTCTTTAACCTTAGAAATGCATTCTTACGACTCTAGTACCCTAATTCGATTGCTTGTTCTACAGTGGCCCTTATCCACACCAGCCCACCAGAGCAGTGCCCAGTGCTGGCTTGAACAAGATCACCTCCCCTCTTCCTATCACATCAACCCTTCTGGGTCTCATTTGTCATATGATACCAACATAGATGCAATGTTTCTTTTTAAAAAAGGAATGTACACCCAGTAATAATAGCACAGTGCCAAACTCACACAAAATCATTTATAGAATAAGGGCTATTTTGCTCTTTTTCTTGTCACTTCATAAAGGTGCTGGAAATTGCAATTTTTTGAGATTACTTTTATGCTCTGTGTGTAGAGCTGCACAATGAGTGTATAAACATATAATGCTAGGCACTAGCCTCATGGTACTGCTGGAGAGCTGACATTGTCGAACAGTGGGGCATCCCAGAGCCTCCTCAAATCCATATAAACATGTAATAGACAATTATGCTTGACTAAGCACTCATGTTTCCCTGTTTGATCTTTTTGCTTTGACTTCATGTCACCATGTTCCTCTTCCTGTAAATCGAATGTTTACCTAGTTTCTGAATCATAATTCTAATAAAGAACCAGCCCAACTGCTCCTAGAGGTATTATTTGCACAATCTGAATCACTTTCTGCAAACTAATTGGAGCCTAGTCTGCACATTTGAAGAGCAGAAAATGGTAGTCCTATGCGTAGTGTACAGGGTGAAGAGGCGTGAACATAAGAAAGCTACTATATCAAAGAATTACTGAAAATAGCAATAATTCGCCCCTTGGAGTCCCTTTCAATCCCACCAAGAATGAGTCTCCAGCAGATAACTTCATCACCTTGGGAAGGAGAAGGGATGAAGTCCAGCTCAGTTTGCTTTTCTTGGTGAGAGTGAACACATGAGGGGCTTGGGAGGAAAGTCCGCATCAAGAGCCTGGTAAGCACTTGAAACTGAAGACACTACCTAGATTTAGCTACAAGCTGAGCTGGGTGTCTGTGCCCTTGGGCCAAATCGGGGGGTGGGCAGGAGGGGTGAGTGTTATCCATATAAATAATTTGTTTTATAAATACATTACAAAATTAAGGGATACAAGTGAAGTATAGCAAATTATCAACAAAGATTTAGGACAATCCATAGAAAAAGAGACCTGGGGGCTGGCATTGTGGCATCGTGAGTTAAGGATCTGCCTAGACACTGGCATCCTATATGAGTGGCTGCTCCACTTCCACTCCAGCACCCTCATAATGCTGTTGGGAAAGCAGTGAAGATGGCCTAAGTCTTTGAATCCCTGCCATCCATGTGGGAGACCACGATGGAGTACTAGTCTCCTGGACTTGGCTTGGTTCAGCCCAGGCCATTGTGGCCATTTGGGGAGTGAACCAGTGGATGGAAGATTCTCTCTCTCTATCTCTGTAACTCTGCCTTTCAAATAAATAAATACATCTTTTTTAAAAATGGCGAAAGTTTTGTGAATTCAGCAGAATTTGGGCTGCCATGAGTTAATTTTCTGTCCCTGGGAGGCAGGAAACCCCACAGAGGCTGTTTTTTCCTGCTTGAGCCACTAGGAGCCTGTAGAGTATTTTGTAACTTTCTTTCCGGTGATAGTCTCTATGGTCCGATAAGTCTGACTACTGGAATTTATCCAAACAGGTGACCCGGAGAGGGAGGCAGGAGACTCACTGGAACCCGTATGGGAATCCTTAGGAAGAGAAGTGGTGGAAAACTGTGAGAGGAGGCAGCCATATATATCCACAAGTTAGAGAATGTAGGCTTTGCTCCCTGGCTAATGCTAGTCTCTTGAGGGTTGACCCTGTGACTCCTTCAGCTTTGGTTAACAAGAAGTCAGACTTGAAGCGCTTTCACATTCCATTGCCATTCCTAATGCCCTTGGTTTACCTGTCAGACAAATTCCTAATAGCACTGATTTTCTCTGCAAATCTGTTCTTTCCTCCCCTCCTCCCCTACTCCTATGCTCTCTTGCCGTGGCCAATCTTTTGTTTCTTCAGGGAGGGGTTCTCCACCAGGAAGAGTAGAAATTTGCCTTGGTCATGTCAACACCGCCTGTCACTCCTCCACCCATGTCTAAATGTCAGAGCAGCCCACGTGTGCAGACACACTTCCTGCCTAACAGCATGGCTCCCAATAGGTCACTGCCTGGAGCGCTGAATCAGAGGTGGAAAGGCAAATACTGAATGCAGGAAGTCTGGGAGGATATGAGACAATATATTCAAGTGATTGCCCGCCAGCAAGAATAGGAAAGAAAAGGACATTATGGAATAAATGAAGGGGGAAAATGGGCAATTAAAAGTCAGCTCAAAGTAAACCAGACTCTTTCTTCCCTCCAGTCTCCCAAGCATGTGTGTCCTTGACTCTTGGGGACTTTTACGGTCTAGGAAGGTGAGGCAGAGAAAAGCCTTAGAGGGGAGGAGATCTCAAAATCAAATCCCACAGCGAATTCTGATAGCCACTTTCACAGATGTCCCCCTGCCCCACGCATGTCCAAGTACACTTTCAAAAAATAACTACAGACCCTGAATTACTTCTCTTTTCTTTTTTGCCAATATTTATTTATTTATTTTAAAGGTAGAGTGACAGAGAGAGAGAGAGAGAGAGAGAGAGAAAACTTCCATCCTCTGATTCCCTCCCTCAAAAGCCCACAACAGCTGGGGCTGGGCCAGGCCCAAACCAGGAGCCAGGAGCTCCACTTGAGGCTCCGAAGTACTTGAGCTGTCATCTGCTGCCTCCCGGGACGCCCATTCACAGGCAGCTGGATCGGAAGCAGAGACAGGACTCAAAGCCAGGCACTTCCATATAGGATGTCAGCATCCCAAGCTGTATCCTAACTGCTGAACCACTTGGCAGCTCCTGCTACTCCTGGAGCTATTCGAATTTAGAGGAAACAGGGTGATGGAAGCCACCTGTACCCTCTGTTTATTCAGCCCCATGGCTTTTCCCCTCCTTGAACAGATTCAATATTTTCTCTGCTGAGATGATTCTCTCACCAACATCCTTGTTCTCCGGAGCAACAGAGGGAGAGACGCGGAATGCAAATAGGAATTCCCCTCCAACCTACTGATTCCACATCCCGCTGAGCTTCTGATGTAGGCACGATTCTACTTTTTAGACCTAATCTGGGACTCCTCCCTCAACCCCCACCTCACTCTCCTGACCCATACTCCCTCCCGAACCCCCACGGGAGACTCTGAATGAAGGACCAATATCTGTCTACCTGGCACGGCACAAGTGACCAGTATTGACTGAACAGATCTCTGAAAGGCTTAGAGAAAGGTCAGGCGGGGTCTCAAAAGAAAAGGAAGAGGAAGAGGAGAACCAAGGGGAGAAAGGGGTGGGGGGAAGAAACAGAGGAAAGGGGCAGGCGGGACAGGGAAGTCAAGGAGACTGGGAGAAAAAGACGGAAGGAACGAGAAGAAGGTGAAGAGTGGGGGAGAAAGCTCTCTGTCCCAGCGCGTGTTCTATCTTGGTCCGCGCCCCTTAGCACATTATCAGCAGACTCCCCAACCTGGGCCTTGCAGTTTTTCCAGGCTCAGAGAAAGAAAACCTGATCCACATGGTTATCCAGACGCACTCAGGCATAGAGTCAGTGTGACCGAACACGCAGAGGAGAAGTGCAATTGCGCAAAGCAGAGATGTCTTCTGTGGTTGCCATGGAAGCTCAGGGTGTGCAGCAGGAAAGGCCCTGTGGACTCTTCCAGACCACACCCAAAGGCAAACTCAGGCCAGAGGGCGGGCTGATGACCAAGACTGGGTGGGACCAGGGCAGCTCTTTGTGCATCCCTTCCCCAGACAGGCAATAGGCAGGGAGAGAGACAGAGAACCTAGTGAAACCAGGCCCATCGCCCTCCTCTGCCACCTCTAATCCCTGGAAGAAAATACAAGCTGGGTGACTCTAAGGCAAAGAAGAGTTATATTTTCAGGAGAGAATGATAAGATGTAGTGCATCCTCTCTTCCCAGAACCTTCTCTGAAGAATCTGTAAGAGGAGGAGAGCTACGTGTGAGAGGAATTGGAAGGGGAAGAAGGGGAGACGGCCAAGAGAGAGGAGCGATGAGCTGCTCATTGTCCGGATGCTATCTGGATCTTCTGGTCATTGCAGGTTATAAAAATGTGCTTTTCCAGAACAAAAGTGTGATAATTGCAGTGAGGGGTAAGTTGGCCTGGTTTGGATAACTTGCAGAATGTCAAATCAAAAGGCCGGGGGCTTTTGTGACATTTGCCCTTCATGAACTCACAGGCAACAGCAGGACTGCTACAGACAGCTTTGACCGTTTTTGGTTCCTCGTGGATGAAGATGTACTGTGTTATGCAGCTGCGATTGCTCTCCTTCACCTTCTCTGCCATCAGGGTGTTGCATTCCCTGTAGAGCAAGTCAAACCGCAGATACTCTTTATTGCCCCGAGAGGGGGTCCCCGCTCTGGGCACCTTGTTTCCTGCAACCTCATCTTCGCCGAGGATGCTGTCTTCTTGCCAGCCAGACTGCTCTACTTCATTGTTGCTAAGCACAGGGGTTTCTGTGGTTCGGGCGCTCTTTGCCTTCTCAATGGCCTCAGCTCTGTCCTGAAAGTCACCGGACCAAAACTCTTCCAGCGACTGGCTGCTGTCCTCCAGGACGGCTGCGGCCATGCGAAGACCCAGCCCCAGGCCCATCCCCAGGCCCAGAAGCAGCAGCAGTAGCATGAAGAAGATCTGCGCCAGAGTCAGCTTCATTTTGGCTGGAAGGGGAGAGGGAGATGGAAGTGTATGACTTTAAGAGGAAAACTGATTGCAGTAGAGCCCATAGTCTACCTAAACCCCACAGCATAGTCCCGGAGGCTCTCCTGCCTTGGGAGTTCCTCCGCCCTTCTCCCATTTTTTCCCTGTTTCTCTTATTCCTTCCTATCACATCCCTTGCTTGCTGTGCAGTGAGGTGTGGCTCCTAAAGATGGGAGATAAGGCCAGGAGAAGCAGTTATTAAATTGTGTTAAATATGGGGAATTACTGAGCAGAGTTGATTCTAATGCCTAAACAGAAATTCTTTCCAAGGGGGTGAGCTGTGTGGCACAGCTGGTTAAGCTGCCACTTAAGACACCTGTATCCCATAGCAGAATGAATGATTTGAGTCTCAGCTACTTTGTGCTTTTTTTTTTTTTTTAAGATTCATTTATTTGAAAGGCAGAGTTACAGAAAGAGAAAGGAAGAGACAGAGATCTTCCATCCACTGATTCACGTTCCAAATGGCTGCAGTGGCCAGTAGCCAGGAGCGAGGAGCCGGGAACTCCACCCAGGTGTCCCATGTGGGTGGCAAGGGCCCAAGCACTTGGACCATCTTCTGTTGCCTTCCCAGGTGCATTAGGAAGAAACTGGATTGAAAGTGGAGCAGCTGGGACTTGAATCTGCATTCATACAGGATGCTGGGTCACAGACAGTGGCTTAATCTGCTGTGCCTGATCCAGCTCCCTGCGAATGCATGTGGGAGGCAACAGGCGATGGCTCAAGTGCTTGGGTCTCTACCATCCAAGTGGGAGACCTGGATGGAGCTTGTGGCTCCTGGCTTCTGGCTCCTTATTTTAAATTGCCCTAACCCTGGCTGTTGGGAAATGAACCAACATAGGGAACACCTCTCTCTCTCTCTCTCTCTTCCTCCCACACCCCCACCCTGTCATTCTGTGCTTCAAATAAACAAACAAATAAAAAAAAAATTTTTTTTTAAAAGAGATGATTTCCAAATAATCAAATAGAATTGATGAGAAGGCAAGTGAGCACAGAGAAATTCTTGTAGAAAGTCTTATTCTCAGAAAAGGACTAGAATTACCAACTGGAGGCCATCTCTCTATTTTTTTTACTCTCTCTATTTTTATGCCAAATTTACATTTGCTCATTCAAGTGTCAGTTACTCTCTACCTCTAAGAAATTCTTTTGAAGAACTGAAAAAGCAGGAGCCAGCTTTGTGACCCAGCAGGTAAAAGCTGCTGCCTGAGAAGCTGACATCCCATACAGGCGCTGGTTCATGTCTCAGTTACTCCACTTCTGATCCAGCTCCCTGCTAGTAACTTGGAAAAAGTAGCAGAGGATAGCCCAAGTGCTTGGATCCCTGCTACCCATGGGAGACCTGGATGAAACTTGTGGCTCCTGGCTTCAGCCTGGTACAGCCCAGTTGTTGATATTTGAGGAGTGAACCAACAGAAAGATCTCTCTCTCTCTTTTAAATAAAATAAAAATAAGGTTTTAAGACAATAAATCAGTAACAAAAAGACTTTAAGGGACCAGCACTGTGGCGTAGTAGGTTAAGCCTTTGCGTACAGCGTTGGCATCCCACACGATTGCTGGTTCAAGTCCCAGCTGCTCCTCTTCTGATCCAGCTCTCTGCTAATGGCCTGGGAAAGCAGCAGAAGCTGGCCCAAGCACTTGGGTCCCTGCACCTGTGTGGGAGACTTGGAAGAAGCTCCTGGCTCCTGGCTTCAGATCAGCGCATCTCTGGCCATTGCGGCCATCTGGGGAGTGAACCAGTGGATGGAGAACCTTTCTGTATCTCCCTCTCTTTCTTTGTAACTCTTCCTTTCAAATAAATTTTTTTAAGATTAATTTTTTATTTACTTGAAAGACAGAATTACAGAGAGAGACAGAGAGAGAGGTCCTCCATCCGCTGGTTCATTCCCCAGATGGCCGCAATGGCCGGAGCTGCACCTTTCTAAAGCCAGGAGCCAGGAGCTTCTTCTAGGTCTCCCACATGGGTGCAGGGGCCCAAAGACTTGGGCCATCCTCTACTGCTATTCCAGGCCATAGCAGAGAGCTGGATTGGAAGAGGAGCAGCTGGGATTAGAACCAGCACCCATATGGGATGCCAGCGCTTCAGGCCAGGGTGTTAGCCCGCTGCACCACAGCGCCGGCCCCTCAAATAAATTTTTAAAAATGTTTTTAGAAATAAAGAATACTCAGAAATTCCTTGTATTGTTATTATAAATTTTCTACAGACTTAAAGATATTAATTTTTTTTTTTAAATTTTGAAAGAGAACCTCCCATTGGTTCCTGTGGCACTCGACACTGCTGACTTACCTACACACCTACGTATCCTCAGAGATTCTTGTGCACACCTGTTCCCCAAGTTCTTCCCTCCCAGGTTTTCCTCTCTGTTAGCAATGCCCTGGACGCTGGTGTGCAGAAGGTGGTCATCTCCTAGTGGTCCGTGTGCTCTTAAACACTCACTTCTAAAGCCCACTCCCCCTCAGCTCTTACTCAGCGCTGAACAAACGCACTCAGCCAACTCCCCAGTTCTACTCCCACAACTGTTTTGAAGTAAGGCTATTTAGGCAATGAGAAAAATGTAGACAGCCAAGACAGGAAATGTCTCCAGCCAGGTAAACTGCAGTTTTATTTCTTGGGTCAGTCGCTCCACTCCTGAGTTACACCCACCACCCTGTGGTTAACAGCAGGTGGACCTTGTGCATGGCTTTCGAACCCAGTCATGTTCTTAAATTGCCCATGCGTACTCCTTTAAGCCTTTCCATCATTCCTGGAATGTCGAGACTGTAGCTTTTCTTTGGGTTGCCTCTCTAATACGGCTATTCTGCTTTCCACATTTGACAACTGTCATGACACCGTTTGAAGATTTGGAGTAGCTCAGTCATCGTGAATCTTCATATAATTTTACTTTTTCCATCCCTCCACTCTCCACTTCCCAGCCAGTGCCCACCTTCCTGTAAGAAGACCCAGATTTTGCAAATAGTGATCATTTAGCCCCAGGAAGAGACTGCCCAAAGCAGCACTCCCATTGTCAGTCCCTATGGCCTGGGTGATAAAACCAGCAGGGTTTCAATGTTGATTCTAAGGTTCACTTCTTTAGTCACAGCTGACATCCTGAGACAATATTTTTAAAAGTACTCATGAGGCGCTGGCACTATGATGTAGCGGGTAAAGCTGTCACCTGCAGTGCTGGTATCTCAAATGGGTGCCGGTTCAAGTCCTAGCAGCTCCATTTCCAATCCAGCTCTCTGCTATGGCCTGGGAAAGCAGCAGCAGATGGCCCAAGTCCCTGGGCCCCTGCACCCTCATGGGAGACCCAGAAGAAGCTCCTGGCTCTTGGCTTTGGATTGGTGCAGCTCCAGTCATTGCAGCCAACTGGGGAGTGAACCAGCGGATGGAAGACCTTTCTTTCTCTGCCTCTCCTTCTCTCTCCATGTAACTCTTTCAAATAAATAAATAAATCTTTAAAAAAAAAAAAAGTACTTGTGATAGGGTCAGAGCACTATAAAAATCCTCTCCAAACATAAACAAGGTCATTTAGGAGGTCATTTCCCTTGCTCACTCAGGAAGGAGTTTTTGAATGATGGTCTGAGAGCTACTCCTGTGTCCTACAAAGTCTTTCATGCTGACTTTTTGTAGTGCTGATGTTTACAATTGAAAATAATAGGGGCCGGCACTATGGTGCAGCGGTTAAAGCCCTGGCCTGCAGCACCGGCATCCCATATGTCCGGGCTGCTCCTCTTCCAATCCAGCTCCCTGCCAATGTACCTAGAAAGCAGTAGTGGAATCGAATCCACCACATCGCGCTCCTGCATCACGTGGAGACCCAGAAGAAGCTCCTGGCTCCTGGTTTTGAACTGACTCAGCTCTGGCCCTTGCAGCCATTTGGGGAGTGAATCATTGGGTGAAAGACCTCTCTCTCTCTCTCTATGTCTCTGTCTCTCTCTATAACTCTGTCTTTCAAATATAGAAATAAATAAATCTTAAAAAAAAACTGTTGACTTCTAAGTAAGTAAAATTTATTTTAGATAGATAGTAGGTAAATAACAGAGAGAGAGAGAGGTTAGGAAGTTGACAATCCATCTAAAATTTAGATTCTAAGTATATATGCTACTTCTCATTATAAATAAATATAAAATATGGACTTCCACTTTGGCTCAAAATGGCATTTTACCTAAAACTCCTGGAAAAATAAATTACCTGAAACAACAGATTTTCAAGACATCAGACAATGTAGAACAATGATCAATGAGAGATGAGAAGCAAACAAGATGAGATCTATGAATCCCTGAGCTTATTTCATGAAGATAGCTTTAAGAATGTGGTACAGAAAGTCTGTCAGTCTCCCTGAGTTCAGGAGATGAAACTGGGCACACAAGGAGCCTAAGGTCACTGGACTTCACATGGCCACCTACTGGAGGGGACAATACACATCTATCAGATGGCTGAAATAAAAAATAGTGAAAATACCAAATGCTGGCAAGGATGCAGAAAAGCAGAGTCTCTCAATACATTACTACCATGGCAACATAAAACATCACAGCCACTCTGGAAAATTGTTTGGTGGATCTTTAAAATACTAAATTTTTACTTATCACACAACCTGGCAATCAACTATACTCTTGGGCATTTAACTCGGAAAAGTAAAAATCTAAGTTCACATGAAAACTTGTACCTGGATAAAATTCATAATAGTTGAATACTGTAAACAACCCAAATGTTCTTCAGAAGGTAAAGGGTTAAACAAGCTGTGGTACATTAATGTGCCATGGAACACTACTCAGCGATAAAAGGGAATGAGCTACTGATACACACAACAATCTGCATGGGTTTCAAAGCATTATGGTGAGGAAAAATATGTATATATTGACCATGTATATCATGTCCATTTACATGACATGGGAAAGAGATTAGTGGCAGCCGGATGCTTTTTTGGTGGAAGTAGGTGTGCCTATAAAGAGGTATTATAAGACAGATAGGGGTGGTGATGGAATAGTTCTATATTTTATTTGCAGAAATGGTCACATGTGTCAACACATGTAATAAAATGACTTAGAGCTTATATACACCTATTATGCTAATGTCAGCTTCTTAATTTTGATATTATGCTATAGTTAGGGAAAATGTTGCCACTGGAGGAAACTTGGTGAAGGGTACGTGACACTGCTGTGTATTATCTTTGCAACTTCTGATGAATATAGAATTATTTTTAAATAAAAATTTAAACTATGAATGCTAGGGTGGGTATTGTGGCACAGTAGGTTAAGCTGATGCTTGGGAAGCCTGCGTCCCATACCAGAGTGCAAGACTGAGTGCTGGTTCTTCTGCTTCCAATGCAGTTTCCTGATAATGTATCCTAGGAGGCAGCAGACACTGGCTCAAGTGCCTGGGCCACTGCCACCCGTGTGGAAGACATGGAAGGACTATCAGGGCTGCATCGGGCATTTGGTGATGGAAGATCTCGCCCTCTCTCCCTTTCAGGTACATGAAAATAAACAAATAACCATTTTGAAAAAACAGAAGGATAAATGCTCATTGTAGAAACTTTACATAATAGAGAGACACATATATATGCATACAAGACTTTGCAATCTTTTCTCATCTTACCCAGCCCCATCCATGTTGAGCTAAAAGTGCAAGTTGAGATGTCAAGTGACAGTTGAATATAGGGTTCTCGGGTTCTAGAATTCAGAATAGTCTGGAATAGAGACAAATTTGGGAGATATCAACATATAACTAGGTATCTAAAATAATGAGACTAGATGAGAGTGAGTGTGGAAAGAATTTTTTAAAATTTTATTTTGTGTGTCTTTAAGGTGGAAAAATAATACCTTATTTGTTGATAGTTAATACCCAGTAAGATAAAAACTGATAATGCAGGAGAGAAAAGAGAGACGTGCTGGGGCAATGACTTTGAGTGCTTAGACTCTAAGAAGGGATTACTTGGGTTTCTATGTAAGTGTGTTATAACATCTATCATTTATGAATTACACTTCAGGATAGTGAAGGGGCACACATGTTTACCTTGAAAGGTTATATCTGGTTTTGTGATTAAAAACCACTGGTTTGAAAAAAATCAGTAATGGTCAGGAGTCTTTCTACACTGCACACTTGTGAGTTTCTTCATTTTGCAGGTGCACCTGCTACTGCCTGGTGAAGTTGAATCTAGCTCAGTCTTGGGCTGGAGGCTATCTGCTTATAGGCAGTGTCTTGGGATGGAAGACAATTGAACAGTAGAAGAGAAAAAGGCCGGCGCCGTGGCTCACTAGGCTAATCCTCCGCCTTGCAGCACTGGCACACCGGGTTCTAGTCCTGGTCGGGGCGCCGGATTCTGTCCTGGTTGCCCCTCTTCCAGGCCAGCTCTCTGCTGTGGCCAGGGAGTGCAGTGGAGGATGGCCCAAGTACTTGTGTACTGCACCCCATGGGAGACCAGGAGAAGCACCTGGCTCCTGCCTTCGGATCAGCGCAGTGCGCTGACCACAGCGCAACGGCCATGGTGGCCATTGGAGGGTGAACCAACGGCAAAGGAAGACCTTTCTCTCTGTCTCTCTCTCTCACTGTCCACTCTGCCTGTCAAAAAAAAAAAAAAAAAAAAAAAGAGAAAGGATGCTGATCAATGTTTTTATAAGGAATGCAACTCAGCTGTGGATCTCAAATAAGTCACAATCTTTTCCTCCAGGATTTTTGTTATTCACCTGCCACCCCCCCCACCCCCGACCAAGTTACACAAAAGTTCAAGGTGAGGAGGGGGACATTTTCCCAGAGACCAACCTGTTGTTTGAGATAACCCAGTTCTCAACATTGTTCTCCATTAGGATTCTAGAATGCTTGATTGTGGCCAAAGGTTAGAAAGAATGTACTCAGACCCACCAAACACAGAGTGACTTAGCCCATTAAAGACAGTCAGCAAATGTCTGGATGGTGAAAGCTTCCTTATGACACTGTGTGCTATTCTGAAGGTCATGCTTTGTCCAAGGGCGGCCAGTAAAGGCTGTAAGTAGAGACCAAAAGCTAACCTGTATTCCCCTAAACAAACTGGAGCAGAGTTGATTTCAGCCGGAGGGAAAGGCCTTTCTTCTAGTTCATGTAAAGGCACTGCTTAGTCTTTCTGGGAGCCTAAATAGATATCTTTACAGTTTGTTTCATTTTCATGTGTCCCTTGGAACTTCTCTGCCAGGCGAGAAGAAATAGAATCATTTCTCCCATTTTACAATAAAACTGGGAACTCAAGCTATTAAGTGACTTGTCTTAGGCCGCACAGATAGTGGGTGGCAGGACAGGAATGATCCCTGAACTGCTGACACCTGCTCTGTTCCTCCTCTTTTTTTTTTTTTTTTTTTTATTTATTTGACAGAGTTAGACAGTGAGAGAGACAGAGAGAAATGTCTTCCTTTCGTTGGTTCACCCCCACAAATGGCCGCTACAGCCGGAGCTACGCCGATCCAAAGCCAGGAGCCAGGTGCTTGTTCCTGGTCTCCCATATGGGTGCAGGGGCCCAAGCAATTGGACCATCCTCCATTGCCCTCCCGGGCCACAGCAGAGAGCTGGAGTGGAAGAGGAGCAGCCGGGACTAGAACCCGGTGCCCATATGGGATGCTGGCACCGCAGGCGGAGGATTAACCAAGTGAGCCACAGCACTGGCCCCCCTGCTCCTCCTCTTATACTATCTGCCTAGACCCTGACAAAAGAAGGAATCATTTTCCTATGGGTCTGGAGAACAACTGGTTATTTCCAGTTATTACTAAGAATAACAATCCACATGTCTAAAATGAACTCACATAACCCTCTTACAATCCATACATCCCAGTCTTCCTAACATCGGCTAGCTCTTTCATTCTCACCACCTTTCATCCCCTGTATAATTACTGTGGTTCCTGATTTGTGTTTCCACCTGTTCAGGCCCTGCCTTGTCCTGGGTCCATTCAATGGCCCACATTCTGGGGGAGTTACTGCACTGTGTCTTGTTCTTTCTAACTGAGTGATTTTGATAGCTTCTGTAATCTTGGAGGAGTTTTGATTAGAAAAGATTTGAGCAATAAAACAGAGCACAATCACCCCACTCTTGGTGCCACAGGAACTTTCAGAACCGGTAATGTCTACAGGAGTTCCCCCAGACACATCTAACCCATGAATCTCTTGCCAAAAGCCCTCTGTGAGAAAAGATGCCAGCTCAGTGACAGTCTGGGTAGCATCCTCTGTAAAAATCATGCTTGGTGTATCATGGGTGTAAGTAATCTTCACTGCCTCCTTTCAAATAGGCTTAATCATTCAATGTCTTCAGAGGCATTTTGGCTAAAAATATTTTTGAAATGATTTTCTTATCTCATTTTGTATGCCAAAGGAACACCAAATTTCTTTGTAAGTTGCCTATTTTTATTATGAACCTTCATAATCCTTCACATGTGAAATTATCAGTAATAACAGTAACCATTTCCATTTGAAAGCTTTACCATCTACAGATACTTTTTGTTTTATTCTAATGTTTCCCTGAAGGTTATGCTATACACTACAGGCCGGAATTTGTGCATTTAGTAAAGAAGGAAAGTTTCAGACTTTCATGGAAAAGGAATTGTAACAGGTACTTTAAACTATTGACACCTTAAAGCGTATTTTGGATACACGCTTTTGAGTTCACAGCACATAAACAGCTCTCAGCCCAAACCACTGAAATGACAAAATTTCCAGAACACTTTTTGATCAAAAAGAAGACAGTTTCATGAAAGTATAAACTGGCCAGCGCTGCGGCTCAACAGGCTAATCCTCCACCTAGCGGCGCCAGCACACCAGGTTCTAGTCCTGGTCGGGGCGCCGGATTCTGTCCTTTTTGCCCCTCTTCCAGGCCAGCTCTCTGCTATGGCCAGGGAGTGCAGTGGAGGATGGCCCAAGTGCTTGGGCCCTGCACCCCATGGGAGACCAGGAGAAGCACCTGGCTCCTGCCTTCGGATCAGCGCAGTGCACCGGCCGCAGGGCCATTGGAGGGTGAACCAACAGCAAAGGAAGACCTTTCTCTCTGTCTCTCTCTCACTGTCCACTCTGCCTGTCAAAAAAAAAAAAAAAAAGATATGAACTCAAATGAAAGTATAAACTAGGGGCCAGCACTGTGGTATAGCAGGTGAGGCCACCACCTGCAGTGCCGGTATCCCATATGGACGCTGATTGGAGTCCTGGCTGTTCCACTTCCAATCCAGCTCTCTGCTGTGGTCTGGGAAAGCAGTAGAAGATGGCCCAAGTCCTTGGGCTCCTGCACCCGCATAGGAGACCCAGAAGAAGCTTCTGGCTCCTGGTTTCAGATTGGCGCAATTCCGGCTGTTGCAACCAGTTGGGGTGTGAACCAGCAGAGGGAAGACCTCTTTCTCTCTCTCTGCTTCTCCTTCTCTTCTCTGTGTGGCTTTCAAATAAATTAATTAAAAAAAAAAGAAACTATGAACTCAAATTCCAACAGAAGAACTAATTATATATAACTGAATGAAATATTAGAAAAAGCTATAGTTTATTTGTTTAGAATATTGTTTTGGCTGGTGCCATGGCTCACTTGGCTAATCCTCTGCCTGCGGCACCAGCACCCCAGGTTCTAGTTCCAGATGGGGCACTGGATTCTGTCCCAGTTGCTCCTCTTCCAGTCCAGCTCTCTGCTGTGGCCCGGGAGTGCAGTGGAAGATGGCCCAAGTGCTTGGGTGCTGCACTTGCATGGGAGACCAGGAGCAAGCACCTGGCTCCTGGCTTCGGATCAGCGCAGCATGCAGGCCATAGCGACCATTTAGGGGGTGAACCAACGAAAAAAGGAAGGCCTTTCTCTAAGAATATTGTTTTAAAGTTCTTGTTTAGTGTTACATAGTTTTAATATTCTAAACATATAAGGAATATTTTTCCTTTCTTCTTAAACTTTCTGTATATAATTCACACATTAGTAGATTCTACTTTAAATTTTTATTTATTTTTATTTGAAAGGCAGAATCACATACACACAGAAAGAGAGAGAGGGAGAGAGAGAGAATCTTCCATCCACTGGTTCACTCATCAGATGCAGCTTAACCTGCTGAGCCGCAACATCCACCCAGAGAATCGTGCTCATGTAATCAACCATGATGAGCCAATAACGCCTACTAAGTCCATTCAGAAAAACTCACCTGGGACATGGCTCATAGGGCCCCAGCCTTGCAGGAGGTGAGGAAGGTCATTTCCCGACAGGCCAAGAACTGGAAGAAAATGTGGAGATCTTGAGAAGAAAGAAATGCACTGAAATTTACGGGATGAAATCTGATGGAGTTTCTTGAGCTTTTTTTTTTTTTTTTTTAATTCATGATAGCAAATAACAGAGACTTTAAAGCCTATTCCAGGTGGATGTTGGAGCAGCGTTAAACCTCCACACAGGAAGCCCACATCCCATATCTGGAGTGCCAGTTGGAGTTCTGGCTCCTTCGCTTCAAATGACCCTCCTGCTAGTGCACCCGGGAGAGGCAGCAGATGATGGCCCACATGCAGGAGTCCCTGCCACCCACATAGAAAACCCATGTGGAGTTCCAAGCTCCTGGTTTCCCTGGCCATTGTAGCCATTTAGAAAATGAACCAGTAAATGGAAGATCTCTGCCTCTCCCTCCCTGTCTGTCTCTTTGCCTTTCAAATAAATAAATAGATCTTTAAAAAAAATAAAAATAAACTCATAATCAGGTTAAAATATTTCAGAAAGAAGTAAATAAATGGAAATAATAAAATAGGGAAGTGAGATGAAACAAGATAGGCAAATGTTTATTAGTTTTGAAGTTGCATATAATGGGCACTTGGGGATAAATCATATTCTTCAATTTCAGTGCATGCTTGAAATTTTCCACAACAGAAAGAAGAAAGAGAAAGAAAGAAAGAAAGAAAGAAAGAAAGAAAGAAAGAAAGAAAGAAAGAAAGAAAGAAAGAAAGAAAGAAAGAGAGAAAGGAAGGAAGGAAAGAGAGAGAGAGAGAGAGAGAGAGAGAGAGAGAGAGAGAGAGAAACGAAAAGAAAGAAGGAAGGAGAGAAAGAAAAAAGGCCTTGAATGAGAAGGAAATTACACAAAGGAAGTCCGGGGGCTTAGTGAGGAAGGCAGTGATAGACCAGTGAATTCAGGCGCTTCTGCTTTGTTTTGAGTTTTTGCACCCAGGATAAACCACTCCCTGTCCCACCTCTGATTTCCTAAGAAGGGATTTGCAAAACCTTGGAGATTTCAAGGAAGAGTGAGCCAAGGGAGGGGCGTGTGCTAGTGGCAGTGTTTCACTCTGAGTGTTGGGAAATCAGCCCCGCCTCACGCACTGGCCCTTTAGCTGAGCCCTGGGCGGGGGGGGCCAGAGATTGCCATGAGTCAACGAACGGGAATGGAATCCCTAAGAGCTGAGAAGGAGGCAGGAGGGGTGTGTCTGTGTGTGTGCAGGGGAATCTGTACAAGACACAAGAGAGACAACAGGAAAGTGAGAAGCACTGGGCCCTTACTTCTCATCCTCCGACCCACACAGTGACTGACTCTGGAGGGAATCTGGAGCCAGGGGGTCAGCCCTGCCCTGGGAAAGAGGAAGCAGGAGAGAGAATGGACACTGCTCCTTTGGACTACAAGAGCTCTGTTCATCTTCCAGTCTGCATTGTTGCACACAGTAACCATAAGCTTAAAAACCACCTGATGACATAAGATTCTTGAGATTTCTCCCTCATCATACACCAGAAAACCTCTCTCCTACAAATTGGTCACACTATGTAAGATTTTATCACTTGATATATATTCCTTCCTCTTCTTTAGCCACTTTTTCCCTTTTTAGAAGTTATTATTCATTCATTCATTCATTCATTTGAGAGGCAGACAGAGAGAGAGAGAGGGAGAACTCCCATCTGTTGGTTTACTGCCCAAATGCCCAGGACTGTGCCAGAAAGAACAGAGCCTAGACTCAAGCCCAGGTTCCATGATATGGGATATAGGTGTCTTGATTGATGCACCAAACACAATAACCCCCTTGTTTTAACTTTTAAAAATGTAATTGTGCTTAACATGTTTTATAGTGCTTGTAGGCAATATCAATTTAGGATAATTTCATATAATGGGATCATTGCCCCTGAGAGATGAAGAGAGATAATAGCTACCATTTATAAAGCAGTGATTAATTGTGTTATGCATTTTACCTACGTTATCTTGTCTAGTCATAACACTGTAGGGTAAATGATGCTCTATCTTCAGTCTGTAAATGTGGAAATAGAGCACTAAGAACCTCATGAAAAATCCCAAAATCACACTACTGGTAGGTAAATGACACAGTCAGCATTTGAACTCAATTATATCTGACTCAAAATCTGTATTTTTGGAAGTTCCAGTGCAGACAGAAAAGTGATATGAAGATAGACTGTCGGGGAACTCATCAATGAGAGTCTCTGAGTATTATGCTATGGTATACAATGATTCCTGACACTAACAGTGAGAAGGAAAGAATACTGACAAAGAAATGTGTAGGGGCTGGTGCTGTGGTACAGCGGGTAAAGCCACCGCCTGCAGTGCCAGCATCCCATAAGGGTATTGTTCAAGACCCGGCTGCTCCACTTCTGATCCAGCTCTCTGCTATGGCCTGAGAAAACAGTAGAAGATGGCCCACATGTTCGGATCCCTACACTGGCGTGGAAGGCCTGGAGGAAGCTCCTGGCTTTGGATTGGCCCAGCTCCGGTCATTGTAGCCATTTAGGAAGTGAACCAGAGGATTAAAGATCTCTCTCTTTCTGCCTCTGCCTCTCAGTAACTCTGCCTTTCAAATAAATAAATAAATATTAAAAAGAAGAAGAAGAAGTGTGTGTATGAAAGAGTGTGTGTATCTGCTAGAGTGGAAGATGACCATTTCTGATATTATTGGCAGGTAATAATAACACAATTCTTTTATAATGACTACAAAAACTGAAATAGTGGACTTCATAGAGAAAGATCCAAACAACTGTCACTATGTGGTACTTCAACTTGACATAGTGGCTAAACGAGTTTTAGTGGAATTACATTTAATCCAATTGGCAGAAAGCCTCTGAAGTCAAGAGATATACCAGCTAAACTGGTAGGCTCCAATGTTTAATCACCAAGGACCCTTTTTGCTATTCCTAGTCCCCCCCCCCCCTCCCGGTGGGTCCTGGGTCTGTAAACTATGTTTGTAGGTTCTATTCTTTTTCTTGATAAGTCAGAGATGAGATGACACAGGCATTCAGAAAGGCCACATGGCCACCCAGGAAGGGAATTCAGAGGTGCAAGCAGCACAGTTTCCCAGGTCACATCGGGTCTGATCCTCAACTCACAGGTCTAAACTTGATTTTGTCTGTGCACCCAGAGTTCTTCAGCTTCATGGTATTAATCCACACCCACCAATGGTCAAATAAAACTATGAACAAAAGCTACACTGAAAAATGCACAGAGAAAAACAAACCTACCCCACACATTCTCTCGCTGACTCAAGTGGGAGACCGAACCATGAAAAGATGTTTGCTTGGTGAGCAGAAGTAGCAAGTATAGTCTTGTGGCTCATTCAGGCCAGGATGAGGTTGGCAAAACATTCCTGACTTGGAATTAAGAACAGAGCCATTGTCTTACTCCTCAGCAGTGGTGGCTTAGTAAGAAGCAATTTCCATAATTTAGAATTTCCCTTTCTAATCTTTAAACTCTAGGATCCCTTTTCTAAAATGCACTAGCATGCTTATTGGCTTGCATTCTCTTTTTTAATCTTCTATTTATTTATTTTTCATTTTATTCGAGAGAGAGAGAGAGAGAGAGAGAGAGGAAGAGAGGTCTCTTCCATCTGCTGACTCACTCACCAAATGCCCACAAAGAGCAAGATCAAACCCAGGGCCAAGAACCAATTCTGAGTCCCCCACATTGGTAGCAGGAACCTAACTACTTGAGCCTGCACCTGCTGCCTCCAAGAGTACGCATTAGCAGGAAGCTGGACTCAAGTGGAGCTGGTGCTCAAGCACAGGCACTCAGATATGGGATGCAGGTGTCCCAAGTGGTATCTTCACCACTGAGCCAAACGCCTGCCCTGGTTTGTATTCTTTTATATTCCTCCTTGTTCCAAGGTAAGATTAAATTCAGTTGGCAAAACTACCTCCAATAAATGATGACAGAAATCAACTTGGGTAAGAGAAAAGAGGCAGGATGCAATTTGATTGATTATGCTTTTGGTACATGGAAGCTGAAATCTCCACACTTCAAAAATCTCCACACACAAAGCCTACAGTTTGGTCCCTGAAGCTGGAGTTTGTGAGTCCTTAGCCTTCCCTGCATTGATGGATCAGGAGTTTGGATAGTTTAATTTACAAGTATTGGTTCCTATTTACCAAATGCTGATTTATCTTACTTTAGTTTTCAGATGGCACCAATAATTTCAAAATTTAAGGAAAGTTTTCTGTTGCACTTATGGAATACCACAATGTCATTTTCCTATTTGTGTAAATAAAAATAAATAAACTCATTAAAAATATTTTTTGGTAAGAATGAGATAACAACAATGAATTGAATAATTAAAATAAGCTTAGTTTTATGGAGCTAAAGTCGTGGTATAGTGGGTAAAGCCACTGCCTGCTTTGCTGGCATCCCATATGGGATCCGGCTCAAGTTCTAGTTGCTCCACTTCTGATCCAGCTCCCTGAAAATGCATCTGGGAAAGCAGTAGAAGATGTCCAAGTCCCTGCACCCATGTGGGAGACCGAGAAGAAGCTCCTGGCTCCTGGCTTCAGATCAGCCCAGCTCTGGCTGTTGTGGTCATTTTGGGAGTGAACCAGCAGACCTCTCTATTACTCTGCCTTTCAAATAAAAAAATAAAATTCTTTTTATGAAAAAAAAAACCTTAGTTTGTTTAGCCTTATTCAGATTAAATATGTAGTTTCCAGTAAGATTTATGAAATGTTAAAATTAGCTCACAGCCTTACAGTTTTTACATTTTGACTCCTGGAAGCAATCTTGAAAAGACAACGCACAGGGTCGGCACTACACCCACATGGGAGACCTGGACAAAGCTCCAGGCTCCTTGCTTTGGATTGATCATCTGGGGAGTGAACCAACAGATGGAAGACTTCTGCCTCTGCAGAGTTACAGAGAGAGGAGGAGGAGGAGAAGGTGGAGGGAAGGGAGAGAGAGAGAGAGAAGGAGAGAGAGAGAGAGAGAGAGAATCTTCTATCCACTGGTTCACTCCTCAGAGGGCAGTAACAGCCAGGGTGAGCCAGGCAAAAGTCAGGTGCCAAGAGCTTTATCTGAGTCTCCCATGTGGGTGCAGGGCCCCAGGCACTTGGGCCATCTTTCTCTGCTTCCCCAGGCCATTAGCAGAGAGCTGGGTAGGAAGTGAAGTAGTAGGCTTCTTCCACTGGGCCGCAAAGCCAGCCCTTATGTTTTCTAAGTGTCTGCCTTTTTGTTTCTCCAGCTCTCATTTTTGAAGCTAGAATCTCAGTCGCCTTTCAAATAAATACTTTTTTAAAAAAGAAGTAAGGTACACTTGTGTCTTCCTGAATGGGTGAGATAACAGCCCTGTTGTGTGTTAAAGTTGCTGCTCCTGGGTCCCAGCAAAACGATCCCTCTGCAAATTGCATTTCTCAGCAAGTGTTCCATGCATATTATGGACCCCATAAACCTCCTCCCATGAACTTTTGCCTCATGAACTATTGCCCACACAGAACATACCCACTTTAAACTACTCTTCCAGAACAAACGACTTCCTTCACCACTTGTACCTCTGCACAAGGCTTCCACCCACAAACGCCTCCTCCCCCGGAGTTCCTGCAGAACCTACCCCCACCTAACCTCCCTGAGTCAGACTCAGCGCCCTGAAGTCAAGCTTTCTGCACGCTGAGTTCTTCCAGATGTGAGGTTGAGGATTCTCCCATCAGGCTGAAAGGTTGCGGGTCCCTAACAGAAGCAGAGGATTGCTTCCACGTTTCTGAGCTCAGCCACGGCCTCTGTTCTTCGTGCTCTTGTGTCCAGCTTCCCAGATCCCACCCTGCAGCAGGCCAAGCGTGCATGGACATGCATGAATGTATCATTATATAACATGTAAGTACCGTGCGACATGCCACCCTCCTTCTGTATAACTAGAGTTGAGGCTGCGCAACTGTACTGTTATTCAGGCTTTTCATAAATAAGTCCTAATAATTCAGATTATTTCAAAAGAATTTTGGAGGTCCTAAGATAGATTTCTCTCTATAGCCTTGATGAATATTCATCTAGCCTCTGTTTCACCACTTCAGTAACATAACAATTTTTTTTTTTGCAGAACTCATTCTAATATTGAATGGAATCTTCTTGTCCTAGTCTTAACCCTCCAAAGTTGCATGGAAAAAAATTGATTCTCTTTCTATAGAACCAGGTTTAAAGACCTGTCTTCGTCTTCACTTCTTCATTCCATCTCCAGTTTGCAATCAAGCTTAGCTCCCTCTGACCTTTTCATAGACAGCCCAGCCTCCCCCCATCCCTATTTGCAGCCCAAAAGATGAGTCCTGGCTGTGCTATTCCTCTGCTGTGTGGTATAATAAAATCCAGGCAACCTCTCTCTAAGTATTTTTTCATCTGAAAATCAAGGGTCTCAATAATTACCGAAGTTAAAATGGGCAAAAAAAGTAAAATCTTAGGTTCAGTGTTGTGGCTCAGCAGGTTGAGCCTCACCTCTGACACCAGCATCCCATATGGGTGCCTGCTCCATTTCCAATCCAACTCCCTGCTCATGTGCCTGAGAAAGAAGTGGAAGATGATCCAAGTGCTTGGACCCTTGCCATCCATGCGGGAGGTGTGAACAGAATTCCAGGCTCCTGGCTTTGTCTGGTCCAGCTCTGGCTGTTGCAGCCATCTGCGGAGTGACCCATTGGATGGAAGCTCTCTCTGTCTGTCTCTCCCTCCGCAAACATTAAAAAAAGTAAAATCTTTTGTAAACTGTAAAGTACTATGTAGGTATCACCCACAGTGCTTATTCAAATTAAAAATCCAGTCCACAGACAAAGATTAGGTCCTTCTTTGCTTGACTTTTTTAGTAAAATTTGGCCACACACTTTGGGATTCAGCAACAATAGTTCCTTTGGAATGCTAGTGGATAGTAGGAATTACTCCAGGGAAATCAGTCTATTTATAATGACAATGGTCCAGCCTAGTTCTTTTAAAAAACATAATAGTTAAGACCTCCCTCTGTCCAGGCTATGCCTCCACACTCAACCAACTTTATAATTACTCCCCTCCCTCCAAGGCTCAAAGGTCTTTGGGGTCTCCACACAAAATCTTACCACTGAGGCTCTGAGGAAGGACTGAATTCACTCCAAGGGCTTTTTCTGCTAAAAAATCATTGCCCACCTTACATTTTTTTTTCTATTTCTTGGCTCTGTTACCCTCTCAAGACAAAGCCAAGTTCCCAACGCAGACTCATTTTTTTCCCTCAAGAATCCATATCACACAGTACAGATGTACTGCACTACAAGTAAGCCATAGCATACCATGTCAATAATCAGTTAAGATCAGTTAAGGGGGGGGGGGCTGGCGCTATGGCGCAGTGGGTTAAAGCCCTGGCCTGAAGTGCCAGCATCCCATATGGGTGCCGGTTCTAGTCCCGGCTGCTCCTCTTCTGATCTAGCTCTCTGCTATGGACTGGGAAAGTGATAGAAGATGGTCCAAGTGCTTGGGCCCCTGCACCCACGTAGAAGACCTGGAGGAAGCTCCTGGCTCCTGGCTTCAGACTGGCGCAGCTCCGGCCACTGCGGCCATCTAGGGAGTGAACCAGCAGATGGAAGACCTCTCTGTCTACCTCTCTCTGTAACTCTGTATTTCAAATAAATAAAATAAATCTTTAAAAAAAAAAAAAAGATCAGTTAAGGGTTCTATGATATTATGATCTCTCTCTCTTTCTCTGTCTCCACCCTGCCTCCTTCCTGCCCCCCCATATGCATACACACAGTTAGTTATTCATACTTTCTTTTTTTTTTAAAAATATTTATTTATTTATTTGAAAGGCAGAGTTATAGAGAGGCAGAGGCAGAGAGAGAGATAGAGAGAGGTCTTCCATCCGCTGGTTCACTCCTCAGATGGCCATAACAGCTGGAGCTGCGCCGATCCGAAGCCAGGAGCCAGGAGCTTCTTCCAGGTCTCCCATATGTGGGTGCAGGGGCCCAAGGACCTGGGCCATCTTCCACTGCTTTCCCAGGTCACAGCAGAGAGCTGGATGAGAAGAGGAGCAGCAGGGATTTGAATCAGCACCCATAAGGGATGCCAGCCCTGCAGGAGGCAGCTTTACCGACTATGCTACACTCCCCAAGGCAGGCCATGGAAATTCAAAGGCCCTCCTCACTCCAGAGGGGTCCTCCCCTATTCCAAAGACAAAGGAATGCTAAAAAATCTGAACAGACAGATCTGGCTGCATTTCCCTACACCATCTGTTAGCAATCCTGCCTATGCACTGAGGTCTCTGAAACTCCACGGGGTGTAGAGAATAACGGAGAACGGGGTGTAGAGATAACTGAACCCTGGAAGTTCCTGAAGTGTGTTGCACCAGGAGAGTGGAAACTCTGCAACCTTCTTCAAGCCTCATCCTCAGCATTTCTTTATCTGTATCCTTTGCAACATCCTTTATAATAAATCAGTAAAGCTAAGTATTTCCTGGAGTTCTCCGAGCCCCTCAAGGAAGCTAATGGAAAGTGAAGAAGGGGTTAGAGGAACCCTGGTTTGCAGCTGCCTGATCAGAAGCACAGGTAAAATATCCCAGGCCTTGCAACTGGCATGTAAGTTGGGTGGTGGTGGGGCAGTCTTGGGGACTCAACCCTCAATCTGTGGGATCCGATTCTATCTCTGGATAGGTGGCAGCTTTGGAATCCGCAAGAAGAGAAGGCCTATACTTCCGGGAATGGAGAGTCCCTACCCACACTTCCCAGGAAGAAAAGTCCTTCTCTAGGTCCCCACGGGTGCCTAAAGGTCAACCAGTGAGGATCAGACCTGCCTCAACCTTTAACCTCCACACTCTGTATCTATAAAAGAAGCCCTCCCAACCTCTGATGCGCGGTCCCCCCCCCCCCCCCCCCCCCCCCCCCCCCCCCCCCCCTCTGTTGGGACGGGGACCTCACCCAGGAGCGGAATCCCAATAAAAGCTTGTGAATTAATTGATTCCTCTGCCTGGGAAGATTTGTTATGCGCCTGACACCTTGCAATAGGTAGTGTCAGGATCAAATTTAAGAATCCTGCTGTTGCAGAATTGATGCCTCGCTTGGTGTATGGGGAAAATCTCATACACACATCTCATGTCAAAAGTGATCTGTTGTGAGAGTAGAGAGGAGAAACTGAGTCCAAATTGGTTTTCCCGTCTATGTCCACAAGTCCCAACTTCCAGACAACAACGTAGGCCATCTTGTCTTCTCCTTCATAGCATACCCAAGTCCTAGTTTTGTTTTTTTTTTCCCATTTCAAGATGTCTCCAATCATTAAAACAAGAAAAAAGTCTTTCCCTAAACCCACATCTGTCCTCCAGCTTCTGCTCTCCTATATAGCAAAATCTCTCAAGAGTTGTACATTGCTTGTAAATGCCATTTCTGCTTCCCCAGCTCTCATACTTTATGGTTTCTGTTCTAAGCAAGAGATGACTCACACCAGGGAGTCAATTGTCAAGGTGACCTTGACCACTCTTAATGAAATAGTTATTTCCTTTACCTTCCCGGACAGTCTACTTCCTGGTTTCCTCACACCTCACTAATGGCTGCATCTCAAATTCTTTATTGCATTCTTCTTGCCATGCTGACTTCCTCCTTTGGTAATAATATCCAGAGCATATGTTAAATGTCATTTATGTGCTAATGACTTCCAAATTCTTGTATCTAGCTTAAATCCCTTCCCTTGGAGTACAAACTCATTTTTACAACTAGAAACTCCACTTGTCCATCTGGAGGTATAGACTTTCCACACTTGACAGCTGTAACAGCAAAATTTGATTACCCTGCAGAAACTGCTCCTCAGAAAATGGCAACCTCACTTACGTATTAGATCAGACTGAAAACTTGGGGCCCATTCTCTACTGCTTTTCTCTTCAAGCTCAATTTCTTCTCCACAGACAGCAAGTCCTGTCTACCTTCACAAGACATCCAGTCCGAACAATTTCTTTTTTTTATTTGACAGGTAGTGTTATAGACAGTAAGAGAGAGAGAGACAGAGAGGAAGGTCTTCCTTCCGTTGGTTCACCCCCCACAATGGCTGCCACGCACCACAATGCCAGCCTTTTTAAGTGCGCTACCGGAGAACTTAAAAAATGTGATTCGCATTGATAATTTCTACTGACAGCAGCGTTCTAACCAACTTTATACACTGCCATCCTCGGGTGAAGCCACTGCACGTCCCTAAGTCTTCTCCACTTACACTGTTTGCTTTCAAATTTCAACTAAAACCTATTGGTTTTTGTTTCTGTTTTTCCTTACATAACTTGAAATCATCCCAGGGCCTCACTTTCTGGGACAGTCTCAGTCCCCCACAGGGTTTCCGGATTCTTCGACTTAGCATATTTGTAAGTTCTTCCATGATGTGCCAGCTGTCAATCCAGTGTTCTTCTTAATTGCTGAATACCACTCCAGTGTCAAGATATGCATTTTGTCTGTTTATTTACCGGCTGATCAATATCTAGGTTGCTTCCAGGTTGTGTAATTTGAACAACATAGCTGTAAACATTTGTGTGCAATTGATTACATGAATGTTTTTATTTCTCTTGGATAGATAACTAGAAGTAAATTGCTGGGTCATACGGTAGTTTTGTAACTCTTCTGTACATTTTTATTTATCTATTTTAATTTTATTTGATAGGCAGACACAGAGACACAGACACAGACACAGACACAGGAGACCTTTCATCCTCTGGTTCACTCCCCAAATGCCCACAATGGCCAGAGTGGGGCCAGGTTGAAGCCAGGAATCCAGAATTCAATCCGGGTCTCCCACATGAGTGTCAGGGACGCAAGCACTCGAGCTATCTGCTGCCTCTCAGGCTGTGCAGTCGCACGAAGCAGGATCGGAAGCAGAGAAGCAGGGACTAAGAACCGGGCACTCCCACAGGAGATGTAGGCACCCCAAGCAGCAACCACTGTGCCAAGCACCCAACCTTGCGCTTAACTCTTTAAGAAACTGCCTGTTTTCTAAATGACCACACTGTATTACATTCCCATCATTAATAAATGAATTCTTATTTCTTGATATCCTCACCCTCATCAACATTTGTTAATGTCTTATGAGTCACTATGAAGTGGTATATCATTGCAATTTTCACTTGCCTTTCCTTCCACTATTATTTTTCTATCTCCATATTTTGATTATTATTATTATTTGGTCAGGCAGAGTTAGACAGTGAGAGAGAGAGAGACAGAGAGAAAGGTTTTCCTTTTTCCAGTTGGTTCACCCCCCAAGTGGCCACTACAGCCGGCGCACTGCACTGATCCAAAGCCAGGAGCCAGGTGTTTCTCCTGATCTCCCATGCAGGTGCAGGGCCCAAGCACTTGGGCCATCCTCCACTGCACTCCCGGGCCACAGCAGAGAGCTGGACTGGAAGAGGAGCAACCGGGACAGAACTGGCACCCCAACCGGGACTAGAACCCGGTGTGCTGGCGCCACAGGCGGAGGATTAGCCTAGTGAGCTGCGGCGCCGGCCATTTTGATTACTTTTAACATTTAATCATTACCTAAGATTTTTTTAAAGATTTATTTATTTGAAAGGCAAAGTTGCACACACACACATGCACACATATCGGGGGAGGGAGAGTCCATCCATTACTTCACTCTCAATGGCTGTAAGGGCTGAAGCTGGGTCACACCAAAGCCAAGAGCCTGGAACTCCCTGAGTTTCCTACTTGGGTTGCAGGGGCTCAACTATTTGAACCATCATCTGCAGTTTTCCCAGGCAACATTAGCAGGCATCTGGATCAGAAGTGGAGGAGCCAGGACTCAAGCAGGCAAGCAGATAGGAGTTGGCAGCATCACAATGGGCAGCAACCTACTGCATGAAAACACCAGCCCTGGCTCAGGTTTTACATTCATGTTTATTTGTAGTCTGACACCACAAAAAGCTACAAAAGCAAGAATGTCCTCTGGTTCTTTTCTGTATCCCTAACCTTAGACCACTCGTTCAGTAAATGAATAAATGTACCAGCTCATGGGTTCATTTCTCCTGCACAGCAAAATTTGATTACCCATCTTGGTAATCAAAGCCATTCTTGGCTAGTGCTCCATCTTGGACACTGGAAGACTTTAAGCTTCCTTGGGACCGGTGCTGTGGCATAGTGGGTAAAGCTGCTGCCTACAGTGCCAGCATCCCATATGGGCGCCAGTTCGAGTCCTGGCTGTTCCACTTCTGGTCCAGCTCTCTGCTATGGCCTGGGAAAGCAGTAGAAGATGGCCCAAGTCCTTGGACCCCTGCCACCCACATGGGAGATCTGGATGGAGTTCCAGGCTCTTGGCTTAGGCCTGGCACAGCCCCAGCCATTGCAGCCATTTGGGGAGTGAACTATCAGACAGAAGATTTCA